AAAGAAATGAAGATGAAGGACAAGATGTAGGAGGAAAGAGGAGAAGAAGAGGAGTGAAGCAGTAATGAGGAGTAGAAAATTAAATTTTAACAAAAGGTTGAAAAGAAGATGGTAAAATGGTAAGAATGAGAGTTTGAAGGAAGTGCACACACACAGGAGGAAAACAGAGGAAATCCATTTGGCAACCAGAGAAAGGAAGACGAAGAGAGAGGAGAAAGAGGTATAGAGAGAAAGAGAGAGCAAGAGAATTACATGCAATTAGAATTACTTCAAGTATACCACAATTTGGTTATGTCATATTTGTTGCTCAGTTGATAGGTGCAGGATCCATGCACATTCTGTATTCTGTAGCAAAGGATGCTTGCGAGTTAATGGGAAGGCAAAACAATCAATATAATTTGGGGATCAATGGCTACTTTGCTTCACACCATCATGCCTAGGTCACATGCAAACAGCAATTAATAACAGCCAGAGACAAATGCTCGTTAAAAAAAAAAAAATAAAGCAGTGAAGCAGGGTCTTCTTTAAGTTCACTAAGGCAACTCTCCCCTTACTGAAAATGCCATTGAGGCTAATTAGCGGGAATACAATCATATTAAAAATTGCCTCAAATACACTTTACAATTTAAACAAACTTTTCAACAAAATACTGAATAAAATAGAAAAGGAGAGGTACCAGCTTTGTAATAATGTTGGCAAAGACCAGCCAGTTGAACATGAGGATTAGAAAAGATTGGGACTGGATACAGTCAGTGTCATTAACAGTTAGGTAGGTCAAGATAGATTAATGGCCAAGGGTCTTTATCACTGCTAAGTTATGTCAGGTATGCTCACTAGGTTGATTAACAGGTTGGTAATGGGAGGCGTCAGTAAAGGAAGATTAAATCTGGGATTGGTGAAAAACTGACTGATCAAACATACCTGGTTCGGTATGGCCCTCTTCTTGTTTGCAGCCGTGTTCCTCTGCTGAGCACTGTCATCACATAAAGAGATCACAACACACCTTATACCACATCTCTAAAATACACAAGTATTCACAAGTCACTTGTGTGGGTTTAGCTAAGATGTTCATGGTGTCATTATTATTGAACCAATACATACACACATGGATGTGGAAGTGGGCTGGGGAGAAATTTGCACTGCATGGGGACTATAATGGTCTTACAAATGCTATAAGACAAAACCCTCAATCTTTTCTGTTTGCCCACCTGTTGTTGCCGTACACTGGGGAGCTACCATCATCCAGCCTTCTGTAGTCAAGACTGAAAGTGATGTCATGAGAACCGTTAAACAGCCCTTGCTTACCGCCGACAAGTTTCATCAATCCACTTGCCATGCAGAGGATAAACCTTCACACACGCACACACTCTGGGGCTTGCTTTGTTATTGGTCAATGAAACAACCCACACAGAGCAGGGAAGCGTCACTCAACTACATGCTACTGTAACTACTATGCTAAAAAGAACACGAATTCAACCACAAACTGCTTAGGGATATACCACAAACGCAGTGAACACTTTGCAATGTGCAAATTAGTTTCCAGTGCACAAAAGCATCTAAAGTCAATGCAGTAAAACGTCAGCACTTTCTCTCTTCATTGCCAACACAAGTAGTGTTTACAGCAGCGAACAGTTTCCGGGAAAGAGGATAATGTACCTGTCAAGCAACCGAGCATGCTTGACTTTGTTTGGAGGCTCAGCAAGTAATGCTGCATGCAGCGGGGAGAAGGCGCCATCTAAAGTGACCTTGATCAATGTAACATCCACTTCACTGAGAGGGAGAGATATGTGCTAAATGACTAATTGGCATGCTGCAAACTGAGGCACAGTAGTTTACAACATGTATGTAATTATAAGCTGGAGCTCTGCACTCAATAGTCCAAATCATCCAACTGCAACCCTGTAAGCTTGCTAGCATCCAATACCATCAGCGGGAGGTAACACGGATGTTCAGTTTGGCTTAAGTCACCTACTTTGATTTGACACAAACTAACACTTTTTGTGAAGTCTTTACCCACTCATCAACTTGCTGTTGACTCCAGTAATCTTTACCCCATCTATTGCTCCTCTGCTTTTCATTGGGACTTCTCCACAACCATGTGACTAGAAACTAGAGAGCAGAAACTAGCTTCTCTAAAAATGCATAATTACCTCACTCTCCAATTTCAAACCAAACCAACGGGTTTGCTCTCTCATAGTTAATCAGTATATGACACATGCACATTCTACTGAAAGTGTGCAGAGCTGTGAGCCAGACTGCTGTGTACGTGCTGTTTATATGACAGGTGCCACGGGAAACTATGGAAGGGAAAACAAGCTACATATAGCTTGGCTAGCATTTTCAGACAATCATCTATGGGCACAAACCTATTAAAGGAAACGCCTGGAATCAGGAGCAGTGCAGTGATTGTGAAGGGTCTAAAGTAAGAGATGGGTTGCATGCGTATTGATTGCTGAAAGTTATTGTATTACATGTCTTTTCTTTTAAAAAAAAAATTAAGAAAAAAAATCAATGGAACCACACGTTCGGACAAAAGGCAAATTAAAGTTCACCAAACTTGCCCTCGGTGAGGCACTTGTCACAGACAGCAGGCTGTAAATTGGGCTGGAGGAGGTGGGAAGGGTACTTACTTAGCAAAGCCTATAAAGTCCTCATGGTTGGTGTTGATGTAGGACAACTCAATGTCAATCAGCAGCAGAACCTTAGAGGCAGAAAATTATGATTAAGAAGGAGAGGTCACAATTAAACACCAATTACAGTGAGCACAAAATAGAAAGTCTCCCTTGTGATATTACACACTGAACAAAAAGAAACCCTGACATTTAAAACTAAATTCACACAGTCATTGTGATACAGCCCATCAGTGATGCATTAGTGATGCAGTGGAGTAGAGAATATGAATTTCAGCTCAACTTGTTTTAATTTCTGGTTAAAAGTGTTGCTACCAGGACTGAAACTCTACCGTGGACAATTTAAACCTGAAACGAAATAAATAAGTTTTTCCTTCTCTCTCAAAATCCAGATTTCTGTGAAAATTTAGCAGAAATGAGTCAAATTAACAGAAAGTTGGAATATATTTAAAGCACATGTGGCCAATTAAACTTTTTTCCCCTGAAGATTAAGGAGATTAGAATCTATGTTGACTTATTTGGTCAAACTATCAGTTACAAAACACTTGCAGCACTAAATACCAATGATGACTAGGACTAGACTCACTCACTCTCACACACACACACTCTCTCTCTCTCTCTCTCTCTCTCACACACACACACACACACACACAAACCTTATGCAAACCTTATGGAAAAAAAACCTGATAATGCATGCAGTGTTCTAATATACAGGATATAACAGGCATCCGTTTTTTTTAATCTATGCATCCATCTGCAGCTCTGATAACCACAAATATGAATAGGCTTGAGACAAAACATTTTATAATGTGGTTGTGCGTCACAGGGAAGAATGCATGCAGACACCAAGATGGCAACTAGCATAGCATGACCTTAAATTACTGATAAAGAATTGCAGGGAGATTAAGGGTGTTTTTAAAAAGGAAAAATGTGCTTCTTCGTGTTTCAGATGGAAGATCAGCAGATGTAGAAACTAAAAATGCTCGATGAGTCATTGATACGGTTAATGCTAGGTGTTAAAATGTTAACTATGAACTTCTTCACATTACAAACTATAACATTTATTAATTATACTTATATCATAACTTCATGTGTCACTTCCCCCCCCTCACCTCCTCGTGCGCTTGGTGGCTCTGGGGTGCGTGATTGGGCATTTTGGTGTGCTTGCTGGCCTGCCCCCTTGGAGGGTCTCTGTCTTTCTCTCGGTCAGCAAAATGGTATATCTGTTTGTGTACCTCCCTCTGTTTTGTCTTTTTGGTGCCATGTATCATCTATGTGTGCTTTGTTACAGAAACAGCAGTTGGAGACCCAGCGTGTCTGTTTACTTCACTCTCGACCCCCCCTCCCGATCCCATTCTTTTCTATTTTTTCCCCTCTCCCTTTTCTTTTTCTAGTTCTCTGCTTTCTTCTCTGATTTTTCACCAATCTGGCCTTTACCCCCAGTCTGCTCCAGCGTAACAACCACAGGACATTAATATGAATAATAAAGTAAATAAATAAAATAAAAACATTAGCAAGAAGAGCCTACTGTGCTCTACTTGGGAAAGCAAAATTATGTTCGGCACAACAAAGAAAAGAAAAAAAAAGTTGGACAAGACAGGTTTAAAACAAACAAACATACATACAACTATTGGACTGAGGTTACACAGGAACTGTAGATGCATTTTTTGCACATGAAAAATAATAACTAATGTTTAATCAGCATGCCAGCATCTCACCTGGTCCTTGGTCTTCCCTTCTCTTTCTCTGACATGAGTTGTGACAATTCTCTCAGTCTCCTCTCTCAGTCTGGGGTAGGAGTTGAGCTGAAAGGCAACAAAAACACATAACTGCGGCCTTGAACTGAGACACATGCACACTTACATGTGAGCTTGAGCTTAATAAGACTTACCAATAAGTATCAGAGAGAAACAGGAGTGAGAAGTGAAAATAAGTAGGAAACAAAGAAAAGGGAAAGAGATAGTCAAGTGACATTGCAGTGTCACACATATCCAGGCAATCACAATCCAGCACACGCACATAAACAGACTTTAAAGCCACAGTGACCGTCTGTTATATAATGTGGCAGAGTCAGCCAGAGATGACTTCACAAAAGATCCAATTTTGTCGCACTCGATATTTGTTGTTGGCATAATCCTGTATTTTTGTGTGTGTAAAACAGTCGTCTCTAGCTGACTGTAGTAGTTATATTAATGAAGACTGGATGAGAAATAGCAGGGTGGGTGAGGCAGAGAAAAAGACAGGGACTATGGATGCCTGGGTAACAGAGCAGATTTTTTTTTTAAAATCATGTCTTTAGATGCAGAGCCTTCATCTGTCCACAAGATGGTAGTGTAGAGTTGTTGCTATGGAAACGCTTCATTCAAGCTGTCACAACACCCACAGAGCCCTTAGGGCTCTGAATATCATCTCAGCCCCCCCCACCCCGACTCACATTGTTCCCTTTCCATCCGGTTCAGCAGATAACAGAATGTCAGTCTGTCATGTGGGTCAGAAAGGGAGCAGCGGTGGGCTCGCCTCTGCTCAGACAGACCAGAAGCAATGTGGAGGTGGGGGGGAAAAAAATGCTCTAATGAGCTGATGCTTAGGTCCAGCAGGGAGACAGCTGGTGGAATTTTATAGTTGTGTTTAATATTTCAAATGTGAGCAAATCTGACGCGCCAAGAAGATGCCAAATGGCATGGCAACTTCTAAAAGTACGAAGACGGCAGGGATGGGAGGATGCACACATTCAATGCAGTGGACACAGATGGTGTAGTGGCAAAGAGTCGTCTGGAGCTGATTTCACTGGGGTGAAAACTCGATGACGGTGATACACATTTACAAAGAAAATGAATCCCTTTTTTTTTTTTTAATGCCATCTTCCTGGCTGGTGTGTCCCTGGTTACCTTAACTGCACACTTCATGACGAGTGCGGTGAGCTCAGAAACCACCAGGTCCACACATTTAAGGCTGGGCTCTTTGAGTTTGAGGATCTGCTTTTTGACAATCGCCTCGAAAGCCAGGTCAGGGGTGAAGAGCCCCGTTCTGAGAGGTCATTGGGTTGATTGAATTTGGTTAAGGAGGTAGAGAGACAGCAGGAGGCAGGAATTGAAGAAAGAAAAATTGAAAAGAGAGGAAAGGGAAAAAAGAGGAAATAAAAAGAGAAGAAGTTGTTGTTCAGTTAGTCACTTCTAGGCACAGACAGACAAAACCAAGCAGTGGTGAAAGACAAGCTGCAGGTACTTCACATCTCTTCCTAGCTAGTCCCTCTTAAATGAGGTGAATATGGTGATAACTAATGCCAAATTTAAACCTTACAGACCACCCTATATTTCACTGGCATTCTGCATCGAGTTGTGAGACCTGCAGCTTGTCCAGGAGAGACTTGAGATGTTCAGTCCAGAAAACATCTCTTATCCACAACAACACGTTACCCGTCACAACACTCCAAAACACGACAGCGCTGCCTGCACACAGAGCTCATGGGGCTGGGTGAAGCCAGGGCAAACTGCACAGAACTTTCCTCTTTATCCTCCTTATAAACACTGGTAGCTTAGCAGAGGCTTCTCTACATCTTCTAAGAAGATGCTAATGTCCTGTGTCAGTTCACCCTCTGGCACACCCATGCTTTCCCCCGCCCAATGTCTCTGGGTCGGGAGATGCTGGACCACCTGCAGTACCTTGTTGGTGCACTGCCTGACTGTGTTGATGAGCTCCTGAATGACCAGATCGATACATTTGAGACAGGGCGTTTTCAGCTTAACGATCTGCTTTTTCACGATGGCCTCAAACGCCAGGTCTGGAGTGAACAGTCCCGTTCTGAGGATGCACAGAGAGACAGAGGCACAGCGGCAGACAGATGGGACAGTTAACAGAGATGTTGGTAAAAAATAAATAAAATAAAATATAATATATACACACACACACAGACAGATGATGAGACCCCCCCCCCCCCAAAAAAAAAAAAAAAAAAAAAACTAAGTAAATACTGACAAACATGACAGGAGAAGTGGAGATGAAGTGCCAAAGACGGCCGAATGTGCGTATAATTAAAAACACACAAGGACAAATGAGATAAGACAGACAGAAGATTTTCATTAAGGAATACACAACAACACAAATGCAGCTAATACAGATACATGTAACACAAAATCGCATTATAACCGAATACTTTGGCAGGCAGAAACAAAAAAAAGGAGTGGGTGGCTTTGCAGTGAGGAGATAAAGAGATTGAAAGAACACTGAGGAAAAGTAGAAAATTTAAAGTTCTCATACAACACTTTCTGAATACACCAATTTTAATTGGTACTTTTAGTCTATGATTCCAAGGCTTGATTATGGAAATTTGAATTGCAGTAAAATAAAGCTCTGATGAAGGGAGAAAATCAAGTGTGTGGCTACAGCAGTATTTAAGGTTGAAGCAGAAAAGAGGCAATTATTGAGTTTCTTTTTCGAAGGGAGGAGGATGTTTTTTGTCCTATTCCACTTGCCTGACACCGTGGACATTCTTGATTGCATGGCTGATTTCTCGCCGTAGCTCCTTCTCATCAAAAACAATCTGGATAAAAGAAAAGATATAAAGTTGTTTTGCGGTTTTTTGTATGTAAATCAAACCTAGAAGCCAAACTTTCCAAGTACATCTTGATCTAAATATGATTGATTCCCTGTGTCCGACTTAGGGATGGGTATTGATAAGATTTTCACGATTCCGATTCCATTTTCGATTCTGTTTAACGTTTC